GTAGGATGGCAGCAGTGCAGATGAACATAAGTGCTTGAGAGATGCATTTTGAAATAGGAAGGATTTATGTTAGTTCAATATAGAGGTGTGGTAAGGGAGAAGAAGAATCAAGATGACTGCAAGTTTCACTTGAGCAACCTGATGGATGATGATGCATTTACTGAGATCAAAGAAGATAAAAGCGGCGAGGGAATCAAGTGCAACATACTAGGTTTGTTATGCCTTATGAACACTGCAGTGAAACCCTAGTAGGCATTTGTATACATATTAGTTCACATATACTTTTGAGTCTCTACTATGTTTGGAACCCCAGGCCTAATTCTAGGAGTTGAAACTGACAACCTCATAGAGATGATCTTTGAAGCTTAGGAAGTTTACAAACGAAGCAGGTAGGGACTGACATTGGACAAGTAATAAACATGATATTAGGTACAGTGTAGAAATTGGAGCTAGAGGTAGGCAAGAGGAGGAAGAAAATGGAGGCTGACAGTCTGGTGGCTGTAGAAGTTTCCTAAGGAAGTTTCACAGGCCTTAGCTCTGAAATATATGAGCAGATCGCTCAATGCAAAAAGAGGTGGAAGCAGAGTTTCAGGCAGAACATGTGCAGAGCATGTGTAGAGGCCTGGAGGCAGGGAAGAGATTAGGTTTTCCAGGAACAAGTCTTATAGAACTAATTCTTTCCCAGATGTTTCTCAGTCCTCACGGAATTCCGTTAGCAGGCTAGTTCCATTCATCCTCCCAGACATGCTGGAGTGGCCAGAGGAGTCAACACAGCTTGCCTCTAGCCGGGCTCCTGCTATACTGTGTCTAAAAGATTCTTTCAGTATAGCAGGACTCCTGCTATGCTGTGTCTACAATTCATTCTTTCAATTGACAATTCCTTGCGAACCTGACTATGGATCATGAGGCGTCTACATCAGCAGTCCCCAACCTTTTTGACAATAGGGACCTGTTTCATGGAAGACAATTCCATGGATTGGGGTGGGGAGGAGAGGTGGGGGGATGAAACTGTTCCACCTAAGATCATCAATCAGTACTTAGATTCTCATGAGAGCAGGCAACCTAGACCTCTCCCATGCAGTTCACAATAGGGTTGTGTCTGTGAGTCTAAGGCCCTGCCTGGGAGGGGCAGAACTCTGGCAGTGATGCTCGCTTGCCCACTGCTCACCTCACCTGCTGTGCAGCCTGGTTCCTAACAGGCCACGGGGCTGATGCCAGTCTGCAGGCCTGGGGGGTGGGGACCCCTGCTCTAGATAAACTTCTTGCCTCTCAGAAAGAACTTGTCACTTAGTGGAGAATGAAGAGGTGTTATACTAAAAGGTATGTCTCAAGAACCATGGAGATTAGAAGGCATGACCCCGGCTCTCACAGACACAAAGGAGACATCACAGAAAAGGAGGAGAAAACAAATGGCAGCACTGACTGTGGTTGAGCCACTTAGGATCGATATGTGCATCTACAAATGGGAAATGTTTGGGAGAATGGGCTCTATTCTTAGAGCAGTTTACCCAATGAATATAATTTCCTCCCTTGGATCATTGATCTTCCTCCTTAGCACACTGAGAAGATTTCTCTGCATTTAGTAATAGCTATGATTTTGCAACTGGCAGGTTTTTCAAGGGAGAGAGACCCTGGCAGTATGGAAGGCTTATGGCTCAAGTCAATGCCAGTCCTATGGTGATAGGGAGGGAGAACTAGGAGTCGAAGCTGAGGCCACAATGCTATTTCCACCTGCCAGTTTCCATCACCTTTGCAGGTAGTCCTGGAATGTAGGATGGAAACCCTCTCCATACCAGTAAAGACAAACCCATCCACTGCCCAGTCCCTCTGTTCCATCCTCCAGAAAGACACAAGGCACTTTGTAGCTCTCCATACTTCCTACTCCCATCCCAATGCAATATTGGGCATCTGCATTTACGAAACTCCAAACACAGCCTTCAGGACTAGCTCAAGAAAAATCATTTTGCTTTTGGCATTTTTAATTAAGGTAGCAGCATTGCATAAAAACAGATGAAAACATCTCAATAACTCCAAACTTATTAGAAGAAAATGGAGAAGAGAAGAGAAAAAAAGTGAAGGTGGGAAGAATCCTAGAAAGGAAATGGATATGTGAGAAACTATTTCCCAATGAACTCCATGCTAATCCACAGCCTCAGGCAATCAGTAGCAGAGCTGTGAAATGATAATTAGAAACCAAGCAATCTCAGAAGAAGTAGAAGATGGAACATTATTAGGTAAAGTGGCATTTTTCCTTTTTTTACCCAAGGAGTATTTGCTGCTGTTCCTTAATAACTTTGAAAAGCAAGAACATTTAACACAAAGGCAGTGTGTCAGAATTTGTAAACTCAAGGATGGGCTTTTCCTTGTCTCCTGGGAAGAGTAAAAAAAAAAAAAAAAAAAAAAAGAAAAGGGATTAGAAAACAGAGGGGAGGAAATTACCATGTAAGTAATGCAGGAAATTTTCCCTGAAGTGAAGGGCATGAGAATTCCAATAAAAGGGCCTTTCAAGTGTACAGCAGCACAACAAAATGAAAAGGCAACAAAACTGCAAGGTCCTGAAATTTTATCACATTCATGAACAATAAAACATAACACATTTCCAGAGAGGAAAAAATAGGTCACACACTATAGTTTAGGAATTAGAATGGCATCAGTCTTCTTAGGAATAACACTGAAAGCTTGCAGACAATAGAACAATGTCTTTGAACAGAGAAAAACATACCTCACTTCATATTATTTATCCAAGAAAATAATTTCTGATCTTTATTTTTATACACAACTCAACTGTCAATTAAGAATGAGGCACTTTCAAATCTCAAAAATTTACCTTTCACACATAATTTCTTAGGAAGCAACGAGATAACGTACTCTATCTAAATTAAGAAAAAACAAACAAGAAAGAAATTTAGGAAATAGGGGCTCTAATCGCAGGAGAAAAATGAAATCACCAGGTTATTGGGGAGGATACATCCTTAGGAGTCCATAGAAACAGTAATGATTCCAGCCCAGGTGACATGGCGAAACCCTGGTTCTGCAAAAAGTAGCCAGGCATGGTGGCATTCAACTGTAGTCCCAGCAACTCAAGAGGCTATGGTGGGAGGATTGCTTGAGCCCAGAAGGTTCACCTGTAGTGAACCATAACCACGCCACTGCACTGCAGCCTGGGTGATAGAACAAGACTCTGTCAGAAAGAAAGAGAAAGAAGGAAAGAAGAAAGAAAGAAAGAAAGAAGGAAGGAAGGAAGGAAGGAAGGAAGGAAGGAAGGAAGGAAGGAAGGAAGGAAGGAAGGAAGGAAGGAAGGAAAGAAAGAAAGAAGAAAGGAAAGAAAGAAAGAAAGAAAGAAAGAAAGAAAGAGAAAGAAAGAAGGAAGGAAGGAAGGAAGGAAGGAAGGAAGGAAGGAAGGAAGGAAGGAAAGAAGGAAGGAAGGAAGGGGAAGAGAGAGAAAGAAAAAGAAGGAAGGAAGGAAGGAAGGAAAGAAGAAAGTAAGAAAAGGAAAGAAAGAGGAAGAAAGGAAGGAAGAGAGAGAGAGAAAGAAAAAGAAAGGAGGGAGGAGGAAGAGAGGAAGGGGAGGAAGAAAGGAAGGAAGAAGAGTAATGATTACAGCAGCAAGACAAAGGACTTCAAAGAGAGGTTATAGGAAAGAAATTGAACCTGATGCATTTCATCATGTTGACAGGGTATTGTAGTTCAGGGGAGATTTGGAAGAGGAATTAATGAAAAGGAAACTAGAAAAGGCATATATACAAACACAAATAACATGAGAAAAAGTTCTCTCTGAAAGAAATGGCATCATAGTAGATTACATGGCTCGGCTCCTAAGCTTATTTTATTTACTTATAATAATGTAAGCCCTGAATACTTATTTAGCTTCAAATTGTGATAACTTTTTGGTGAGGATGGGTAGAGGAAAGTGTGTGTATGTATTGAGGGTGGTGTAGAGGAAGCAATTTCCCTCATCAATTTACAAATTTAATATACCATATCTGAATATAAGAAACAACCAAGGGGTATAAGCACATATTATAAAGGAAGGAAGGAAGGAAGGAAGGAAGGAAGGAAGGAAGGAAGGAAGGGAAAGAGAGAGAAAGAAAAAGAGAGAGAAGGAAGGAAGGAAGGAAGGGGAAAGAAAGTAAAGAAGGAAAGAAAGAGGAAGAAAGGAAGGAAGGAAGAGAGAGAGAGAGAAAGAAAGAAAGGAGGGAGGGAGGAAGAGAGGAAGGGAGGAAGAAAGGAAGGAAGAAAGAGTAATGATTACAGCAGCAAGACAAAGGACTTCAAGAAGGTTATAGGAGAAAGAAATTGAACCTGATGCATTTCATCATGTTGACAGGGTATTTGTAGTTCAGGGGGAGATTTGGAAGAGGAATTAATGAAAAGGAAACTAGAAAAGGCATATATACAAACACAAATAACATGAGAAAAAGTTCTCTACGAAAGAAATGGCATCATAGTAGATTACATGGCTCGGCTCTAAACATTTTTATTGCCATAATAATGTAAGCCCTGAATACTTATTTAAACACAAATTGTGATAACTTTTTTGGTGAGGATGGGTGAGAGGAAAGTGTGTATGTATTGAGGGTGGTGTAGAGGAAGCAATTTCACATCATCCAATTTACAAATTTAATATACCATATCTGAATATAAGGAAACAACCAGAAATTATAAGCATATTATAAAAATGGAGATAGGCTGGGCATGGTAGCTCACACCTGTAATCACAGCACTTTGGGAGGCCGAGGTGGGTGAATCACAAGGTCAGGAGTTCGAGACCAGCCTGGCAAGATGGTGAAACACTGCCTCTAGTAAAAACGCAAAAATTAGCCGGGTGTGGTGGAATGCACCTGTAATCCAAGCTACCCGGGAGGCTGAGGCAGGAGAATCTCTTGAACCCGGGAGGCGGAGGTTGCAGTGAGCCGAGCTTGTGCCACTGCACTCCAGCTTGGGTAACAAGAGCAAAACTTCATCTTAAAAAAAATAATTAAAAATGGAGATAAAAGACAAAATAAACAAAAGAATTGATTGAAAGTCATTGTCCCTGGAAAGCAGGAATTGGAAAGGAAACTGCTGGTTTTTAAAAATTGCTGTTGTTTCGGGTCTTGTGGTAATATTCACATTTTTAAACTGTATACATTGATACTACAAAGAATTTAAAAGTAAATGTAAAGTACATTTGGAATGTTGAGAAAAACATACTTCCCTATAATGGCTGGTGTGACAACTAGGAAAAATCCCTAACAGATAAGCATTCTATCTTCACTTTATATATGAGGAAATTAAAGCCCACAGAGATTATGCAGGTTGACACAGTTATTCAGTGACAGAGCCAGGCATCAAACCCAATCTTTCTGCTTCCTGTTTCAGGGATCTTCATAATACCTCCTGCCTTCTCATTATCTAGTTTGTATTTGTCATGTTGCTTTAAATAATATCATCCACACAGAAACAACTTCAAAAAACTGAAAGTAGAAAATGGCATCCTTCATTAGGCATGGCTGAGCTAGATGAACAGATTCTAACGATATCTTAGATCTCTGTTGCACCCTGTTTTGAAGACAGTGAGGAATAGAGATGAACATTAAGTAGCACATATAACTTTGGAACCTAAAGCCTTTCCGAATGGATAAATGCTTCTTGTTACACTATCCCAAGAAAAAGAATTGATCTCATCACTTAACAAATGTTTTCAATTTGATTCAGTGCACCTGGGAAATAACATTTCTATTTGCTGCCAAAATATGATTGCATTAAACTTTAATAATGTACCTGTCATGGGGGTTAGACAAGAATATTTTAATTGAGTGTCAACTACACCCCACTGGAATACACTAATAGATTTACTTTTTCAAAAAGTTAGAAACATTGATGAACTCTTAGTTGTCTGCTATTAGTTTTATATAGCCACTGATTAGTATTGCCCCCCTTCCACAAGTACAAGGCATCACTAGACTTCTCCTTGGTAACCAGATATTTTTTTGTGTCCTTCGGTACTTGTTCCTGGAAGTGTCATTATGATGTCTGCAATTTGCGGAATTCAATGGCAGCTCCAGTTAAATAAACAAAATCTAATTATGTCAGAATTAGGCTTTGCTCAAATTAGTATGATTGATTTTCTTTCTGTATAATCTGTGAACACCTGCAAAAATGGTAAATGTCAAGGTGTTTCTTAGAAAACTTTAAAAAATTTAAAAGATCTGGTGAGGGAAATGTAGATTGCGTTGCTGTATAGTCTATATGTTTGATCTTTTTAGTCTAGGTCCTTGCGTTTTGGATTTATGAACCCTGCAATTTTATGCAAAATGACACATGAGTGTGCATTTTGCAAAAAGATTGTCTTTAACTTTCATGAAATTTTAAAAGAGGTTTCTAACCCCCAAACCACAAAGAACCGTTGCTTTCCAGAAAGAAATAGAATCCATGTAGAATCCTTTAATTAGGTTTTTCTTAGTGGAAATAAAAATATTTTTGTAATCGGTGCTAGTAAATATCTGAGAGATAGAAAGTATTACATTTGCCTTCCGCTATTACTATTCGATTCCTTTTCTATTTCTGGAATCATGAATATCAAAGTTCATCTAAGACAAATTTCGTTTCCCCTCCCACTCTACCCCCAATTTTTTCTTCTAGCTTTTGAGGATTCATATGAGATTATCAACAGACAATACTTTTTGTCATGGCTTCCTTATTGAATTTTTTACTTCTCTTTCTGGATTACATACTGAAAATGTTTATGAGAATAGCGAAAATCTCAAGCATTTATATTACTTAGTGATGCCAATGGAATGATCCACTCACGTTGGTCTTGGTTTCTTTCATTGATCAGAAGCAGACTCTGCGCCATCTTTGCCAGAGCTCTCACAAGACATTTCCGCGAAGCAATTACAGAGCAAGAAGAGCCTCAACTCAATGATAGGTGTGTGGCCTGGCTTTATGGACTCTTTTTTGAAAAAAATTATATTTACTTAGATTTATAGCCAAGAGATTTTATCGCTATTAAATTTAATCTCTAGCAACCTAGACACATCCCATAAAACTTCTAGGAAGAAAGTTTAATGGCTTATTATAGTTAATTAACATTTTTCTTTCGTATTTTAAAGTTCAACTATATTATATTTTATATTAATAAGGAACACAACACATACTCTCAGAAGCTTAATAATCTACTGAGAAAAATCTACAGAGTTTAAAGAGAAATAAAACATAGGGTCAAGTCAGGTTTTCAGAGTCAGTAAAGGAGATGAGTCACCACATTGTGAAATTTCTCAGTTTTCCACATCCAGAAATTCAATTTTGAAGTGCATTTAGCCTTCTTTGTTTCTTAGATATCAACTCACGCTAACCAAATTAATGAAACAGTAAGGTATAGATCAGACACAAATGTATGTGTTTCTAGGAAGCTGAACATATTAATGTTGGTTATATTTGTGTCTTCTACTTTTAATACTTCCTGGAATCTAGACACTTGGAAACAAAAACCATTAACAGTTAGTTGGTAGCTGAAATAGAGTTGTAACAGAAAACTGGCTATGGGGAGATTCCTAATGAATGATCTCAACTTTACCATAGTACAGCTCTCCAGAGACGAAGATTTTATGACTGCATGGTGGCTGGCCCAGATTTCCTACATGTGTGAATTGGCTTTGCCACTTTCTAGCAGTGAAACTTTGGATAGATATTTAGCTTTTCCAAGTCTCCTTTGCCTCAACTATCAGTAGGGAAAATAATAGTATCTACCTCATAGGTTGTTAATATGTTTGAAATAAGAGAATGAGTTTAACATACTTTGTGTTGTGTTGGTATGTAATTAATGAATTGTATCCATTGGCCACTCCATTTCCCCTTCTCTTATATTTATTCTTTTTCTTTGTCCTTATTCTCTTCATTCTTAATAAACTACATCCATTTTTTCCTTGAAAAACAAGAAATAATCACGTATCTTCAGAAACGCTTAGCCTTGTTTTATGTGTATGGCTTGAAAATTTTACATAAATGACATTGTGTTCTAGATCTCATTCTGTTTCATGCATTTTTCATGCTACTATATGAGAATTTAATTCCTTACCTCCAAATGTTACATAGTATTCTTCCATGTGTATAAGCCATAATTTATGCATCTCTTCACTTGATGATGGACACATGTGGCTTCCAACTTTTTACTGTTCCCCAAACAACTCTGTGAAAAAGAAACACGTGCACAGTTCCTTGTGAATCTGTACTAGCTTTTCTCTGGGGTCTGCTTCCAGGGGCAAAATTGCTGGATCATAATGTACACATTTACATATGGTGGACTTGGAAGGACAGGACATACTTTTACATACTTTCCCAGTAGAATAGGGAAAGGGATAGGATGAGAAATGGAAAATGAATAGAAAAGTACTAAAACAAATCAAGGACTTTCCTCAGATTGATGCTAATAGCATGACTTTGACTAATGAGTATGATCAACCTGTGCTGTGTACCTAAAATCCTTAAAAATGAAATTAAAAAGAGTGTGGCTTAATGCATTGCCAACATAGATACCGTACCCACTACAATGGCTTCGTAGCTCCATCTGCACTCCATAGCCAGTGTGCCGGCCTCCTACTATCCTACCAAGATGGTGCAGAAAATCATTAGGTGGCATTCACACACGTAGGAAATCTGGGCCAAGCCAGCATGCAGTCATAAAATCTTCGTCTCTGGAGAGCTGTACTATGGTCAAGTTGAGATCATTCATTAAGAATCTCCCCATAGCCAGTTTTCTGTTACAACTCTAATGATTTTAAAACTCCTGAGACTCAGACACAGACAGTGAAAAGCTATTATTCTGCTTTGCTAGTCTATGAAATTTTAACTATAGATCTCTTTGTTAATCAGCCCTGGAGATTGCTGTGACTTAAATGGTCTCCAGGCCTGACCATTGCTGACTCCCAATTAGCCTGTAAAGGTATCTTATAAGGGGACTGTTTTGACATCTTTGACCATTTCATCCAATCAAACAATAAAAGGTCTCACACTGAGGAAGCGTAATGTCACTGTGTTAATACACTATGTGGTCACCAGTGTTAGCAAGAGGTATGGAATCAGGAGTGTTGAAGTTAAGCAGTGCGAAAAGAAGTGTCAAGCCAGGAGTCAGTATTAGTTTAAATTTCCTCTCATAAATAGATATTACTCTTCTTTTTTAAAGAAAGAAAAGAAAAATATTTCAAGTAACTGTTTTGCCTATGCCAAAGTATTGAAATAACGAAACCTTTCATTTTCAACAACACTTTTTGGTTTTTCGTAGGCCCAATGCTAAATGACAAGGTAACGATTTCTTCAGGAACTGAGGAGAGACAGGCCTGGAAAGTTGTAATGATTTTCTTCACAACTAGTAAGAAGATAAATGATATGAAAGAGGAATCTTCTCTGAGACATGTTCACAAGCAGGTCGGACCTTTCATTCAGAACAAGATTATTTTAATTTTTAACGGTTTAAGATATAACTGATTCATTCCTTAAATTAGTTCATCTTGCTCAAGTCATTATAATATTAATTCACTGTTATTTTTGGTAATACAGATCATTGTTAATTTTTTGTATTTAGAAGCCAGGAATACACAAGGGAAGGGCACATTCAGAAGTAACTAACACTATTACAATTTTAGGACCTTTCCATTTTATTGAATTGGGTTTTATTTAAAATTTTGTCTCTCTTTTTTTGTCATTATTATGTCTAATATGTTTTCATTCCTTAAATCTGCTCTGTATATGTTCTGTTCGCAATATTTAAACATACAATGACTATAGCTTCATTTTCCAAATCTAATCTAGCCTAAACCCTTTGGTGGGGCAAGAAAAGCAAGTTGTAAAATAATCTCTTTGTCGTGACCCTCAAGTCATATCTTCTGGACTTGAAAGGTACACTGGATGTCCTATGTGTTGGTGCCTCATGCTGCTCAGCAGGAAATCTGAACTGTTCTCACCTCTCTGGTCCTTCTCTCTCACCAGCAGATATACCCGAGAACATTCTCCACATTGTCTTAATTCTCCTGCTTTCTGCCTTGGGTCACTCAACCCAAATGGAAGAGATTGCACTGTTCATATTAGGGATGCTTTAATTCTATAGTTCAAAGATTGCAATTTAACACAAAAATCTACTTTTTCTAGTAGATAACAGTAAATAACAGTTCTGGTGAATATTAAGAGGAGGGAGTCTTTTGTTTAAAAATAGCCTGCAATTCAGTAGCATCATCTTTATAAGTAGAGGATGCACAATCACCTACTTGCTGGTCACTGCTCTGCTTTGGGTCATCTGAAGTCGATCACTGCATCCTTGGAGGATGGTGTGAAATGCCAGTGAAACCATGAACTAATTCAATGACATGCCCATTGTTCCACTCACTTAGGCAAATGCTTTTTCTCAACAGGGAAGCTTCTCACATATTCCTAACAGTACTAAATGAGCTCAAAAAACTTAAGAATGATACCCCACTGCTGCTTGTCTCTAGTTCTCAGTTCTCATCCTGGTGGGCAAGACCCCCAGCATCATCTCAGTCATAAAGTACTTGTAAGTATTCAGAAAGGCCTAAGTTAACTATTGTCAGGTTACACAGGTTTGGAAGCTTGAGCACATTCTATGGCATTTGTGGTATGGCCTCTGTAGAATCAATATCCTTAATCATAGATAGCAGATGGAGCTGTGAGACAATGACCTTCCAGAGTGCCTTCCCCAGATAGACTTAACGCTACCACACTTCAAAGGCAATCACTGTCCATCCACTCCAGGTCAGCGTGCAGTGCTGGCCGGGGGCCTGGGCTACCAGAAAGACACTGGCTAGAGTTGAACGCTCAATCTCCCTGCTCCCAAGTACAGATAAGAGGTGAGAGAGAGGCTCACAGCCTTCTAGAACTTTATGTGCTTAAGTGCTGATAGGAGCTACCATTTGCTGCATTTTGGTCACTCTGGAATATAAGACCCCTGAGACAGCAGCTGATGTGGCTAAGGAACAGTCAGGCCAGATTTGGTGAAACTTATTTAGCAGAACACAGAATCCAAGAACCCTCATGAATGCCAGTCAAAAGCATGACTCAGGCAAAGGGAACAGACAATAAAAAGAATGACTTCACATTTCACAGCAGGAATTCTCTGGCCTCGGAGAACACTAGATACCTCTGGACCACACATCCCTTTGGCAGAATACTTTTCTCATCTACAGATCACTGTATGGCTCGGTTTACCTGAAGCCTCTTGTGGTTTCTCCACCTAATAACCCACATGATTTTTTTCTAGAAAAGCAGCATAGATGGAGATGGAATGTAACACCTGAAATAATAGGATTTTACAGGAAATAATGTAAATCAAGCCTTTTGCCCTTAATGACCCATGATAAAATGCTCTTGTTACCAAGCTGTGCAGGCAACCCAGTGCAGGTTGCCATGGAAACACCCAGCTGCTCCTCTGCGCAGTTGCTTAATGATCAGTGTGATGTCAGGCTCTGGAGAGAAGCACAAGCTCAGACAACTCTTTACAGTCACAGGGACAGTCCACTTGGGACTGCAGTTCGTCTGAGTGGGGGCCCCTGTGTCCAGGTATAATTAAAATGCACTCAGACCTATGACTGGAAATGCTTTCAGCAGAAAATCACGTCGCCTTTTTCATGTCTCCATTCATTTTCATTTCTCCATATGACTTCCCAGTCAGAAGCAAGCCAGAAGCAGGGAGGCCATGGCATGTTGCTGCAGATGGCGCGTCATCAGTCTGTGACCCGGCTCCTGCTCCACACGGGTGGGAGATGCAGGGGCTCTACCTTGACCCATGCCATAAAAGGTCACCTTTTTGTCCCCTCTTCCCATGTTCCCTGCATCTACTTTTCACAGTGACTGGACCTGAAATTCTCACTATTACTCATGGCTTGATTTAGATAACAAAGGCAAGAGGTTTTGCCCAGTATATTATTTTCAAAATGTATTTATTATCTGGGAAGAAAAGACAAGCCCTGGGGAATCTCTTCCTGTCCTTCGCTCCTTTTATTTTTTTTCTCCCTTCCTCTCTTTCATTCTCTCTCAAAAGGGTTTATTAGGTGCCTATTGTCTGCAGGTAATTACCAGAAACACAAGGATGAATGAAGCTTGATTGCTGTCCTCCAGGAGCTGACAGGTTATTAGATGGGGACAGGCATGTAAACGAATGCGTGAGCTAAAGAGACAGAGGTGTGTACAGGGCACAGGTGGATAAATCCTACCTGAGGGAGAGCTGGAAAGGCTTTTTCAGGGGTGGGGGGTGGGGGTGGGGGGCGTTGCTTACTAGGCAACCTCTTGGGAAGAAATTAATGGGATTGTGGAATTAATGGGAGGAAGGGAAGAGGGACACTGTGAGTAAAGACTGAAGGCACAAAATAATCTCGTATGCTTGATAAATTGCAAGCAGTTGAGAATGGCTGGAGCTTTGGCCAGGATAGTAGTCTAGGGAGAAATACATCAGAAGTAGGCAGGAGTGAGAAGCTAATGAAGTTTGACTTTACTTTACAGGCCAGTAGGAGCTACTTAAGCATTTTCAGGAGGGAAGACAGAGAATTAGACTTGCCGTTTAGGAAGATCACTTTTTTTGGTGGGGGGGCAACGAAGAGCATATACTGAGGAAGTAGGAGACACGGAATAATTAGGGAGTTAGTGGGAGAGCGTGACTGTACAGAACGGCTATTGTTTTTTTGTCTAACATCTGTTTCTTTGGAAGAGAATCACCTGTCTCTCATTGCCTGGCCCACTCACACAAGGGTGGACAAATGACCCAAACTCAACCCATTACAGTACCCGTCCCTGGTTCAGGTGGGCACATAATCCAAGCAGTTTTTATCAAGCTTCTCTACTGAAAATTCACATATGCACGCCTAGACATAGAATTATTTCTCCTCCTCCTACTCCTTCTCCTCCTTCTTCTTCTTTCTTTTTCTTCTTCTTCTTTATAAAAGGATGTAGCCTTGCAGCTTCCAGAGGCCATCTTTCTTGTTACACAGAGAAAACCTGATCATTAAGCCAATACTTGCAGGAAAATGAACAAGAAGGGGAAACAGAGCTGTATTAATATTGTTTGAGCCTCTAACGTCTAGAGTCTACATCCCTCTGTGTCTGAAACCAGTTTACCAATGGACTTTAGGGTTATATACACCAATAAGTTTATTTTTGCTTGAGTAAGCTTGAGTTAGTTTTTAGTCACTTGGGGCTGAATGATTCCTGATTATGAAAACAGGTAAAAATGATGACAGCTTAAGCCAAGGTTGTAGGGGATGGAAAGGATGGTTTAGTCAAAGTTAAGGAAACCACCCAGGAATTGGAGAGAGAGAGACTATGGAGTGGAAGGGGAAAAAAATCAACCAGAATTATGCCCAGATCCTTTGTTTCAATGAATAACAATGCCACCTTATAAGACATTGAATATAAGAAGAGAAACAATTATTTTGGGAAAGAGGTACATGTTTTAATTTATTGGGTTTTAGATATTTGAGGGATGTCTAGTTGAAATTTTTGAGTAAATAATTAAGATTTTCTATAACCCACTCCCTGAAATACATGCAACTTATAGAACCACATGATGGTAAGCATCTTAAAAGTCTTCCAATCATGCTACTCATTTGATACTTTAATTCCTTCTGTTGAACATTTATTAAGTGCCTGTTGGTGTCATGTGCTGTGCTAGGAGGAAAGTCACAATATGTATTCACAGCCTGCATTCTCGTGAGGTTCACGGTCTAGCTGGGGAGACAGACGTGGTATTTCCATGGGCTGAGAGAGAAGAGCTACTAGTGGCACCTGTGAAGTACTGGAGGGACACAGAGGTTGAACCTTCCAGCTGTGGACCTACAACTCCTGATCAAAAGGGTTGTGCAGTTTCTGGTTTGGTAAGTAGATTGGAGAATATATCTTCTTCTGGAGTAGCCTTGATTTCCTTTGGGATAACTAGATTTATAGGCAGTTTTATTGTATGTTGACTCAATTGTGTCTCTCACTGGCCATGGTTCTATTCATCAGGCCCTTATGCAATATATTTAGACTGTCTCCTATGTAAAATAATCTTCTTATATTTTAATAAGATATTTGTGTGTTCCTTTCATCTTTCCCCTTCCAGTCTAAACATCAGATCTCTAGTACTTTTCAATGTGCTTCACGTGACATGGCTTTTGGTGATTTTTAAAGTAGCCTTTATCATTATATAAAGTTATCTTATCAACTATGTATTTGTCTTTTGTTTAGCCATTAAATAATCATCCTCATGTGAACAGGAACCTTGTCTGTTGTAGCCATCATTTATCCCCAGCACCAAAATTAGTGACTGAAGCAAAGTAGGCACTCAATAAACATTTGCTGGAGAATAGCTTCTAGTGTCTAGCCCATCATCATCTCAGTAGATATTTTGGGAAGGCATTAGTTTGTCTGTGACCCAGCTAATGTACAGGGTCCACTGGAGAATATAACACTCTGAGATCACTAGAAACATCACGAAGTATAAAGGGGTGGTTGCCAATTTGTTCTGGTTTCATATGTCTATATTACGCAGTCCAAGATTGCACTGCTCTTTTGGGGAGCTACGTCACATTGCACCCTATATCGGTCATCTCAAACCATTAATTTTTTTTTCATGAAGCAGTTACTAACGCCATAGCTTCCTATCCTGGAAGAGGATTCTTCTTCTGTTGCTGGATTCTTTTTTTTTTTAATCTTGAATTTAGAATACCACATACATCTCTGCGAAATTTAGCCTAAAAAATGTTTGCACGGCTTTTGCTTGTGATTCTGTTATCCAATCTTTAGTTCTTCCTGCTTTCTAGCATCAGCATAATTAAAGAGCCTGCAGCCTCCCAAAGGTCAGGCTTTCTGCATTGCCTGTACTGCTACCCTCGAATCCCAGCCCGTGCTCTGTCATCAAGAGCATCTTCAGTTGAATGTTTATTGGACAAATTTCTAAAGGCGTGCCTGTTATATTTCTTTCAAGTTATTAATTAAAATGTGAAAAAAGAACAGAATGGTTTAGCTTTCTACTGGAAACATCCCTCTTTTGTTGTTTATCTATCTATCTATCCCAAATCCAGCACATTTGGATTCAGTTCATTTTTTTCTCCTTCACCTTTCCGGAAATTTTGCTGTCATCTAGATACATTGCATTTATACTACAGTACCAATCTCAATGAAAGAAATGAGTTTGGACTGACATAACCTAATATTAAGAAACCCATACTGGCTCCAGGTGATCACCAGTTACTCTTCCATGGGTTCCAAACCCACCACTTACGGGCAGATGTTACTTGATCTCCCTCGTGGACACTCTGGTAGGGAAAGAATTTGTAGGAATCAATTGTGAAATTGCATTGACCTTTCTTTCACATTGCCACAGCAGTCAAAGATGTGTGTGGGGAAGTTGAAATAAAGAAGCAGCTACAGAAAAAAAAAAAAAGAAAGAAAACAAAAACCCTAGAGGACGTATTTTTAAAGGATGTAATTTATGTAGTCTATTTTGGGGCTACATAAATTCTCATTTTGTTTAGAAAAGCATCACATACCCAGTGCTTATCCAAAATATGCACATTGATTATTTATAATGGGTAATGTTCAAGATAGAACCTTCCTCCCCTCTTTAAGCCAAAGGGTTATTTGGGCCAAGAGGGTGCTGAGTGGAGGAAGCAGGAAGTAGGGGTGGGAGTTCACTCTGCTCCATAGCCCCTTTGAGAGCCTCATTGAGTTAAGAGAGCATTGGTTACATGAACACTGCTTTTTTTCTCTATTTATGTCATGGAACACTGTGAAGGGCCTCCCCTAGATTTCAATGCCCTTTTAAAATCAAAGAGCATGTGGCAATGGACCAAGCCAATAGCCCATGTCAATACAAAACAGCATGGCCCTTTGGTCCTGAGTGCCTTCAACCAGAATCCATCAGCGTAAAGAACCACATTTCCAGGAAATGTGCAGGATATTTAATGGCAATCAATGTATTTCCTCCATGATTTCTGGCTGCCTCTTTTCTGTGGAATTTGGCAAGAAGATGGGAATTCAGATGCGGCTATGTATGGGGTAATTCAGCAGGCTTGGAACATCATTTTGTTCCAGTTAATTTGAGGAGGCTGTCACTTTCCTCAAGTCTGTGACAGTTAGGATGTTTGTTATTACATCTCTGCTCTCCACACCCTGTAAACTATAATAAATTTGATGAAAATGCAGATACCTCATGGACATGTTATTTTTGCTCATAAAGAGTCTTTCAGACACACTTAAATGGTTTTAAAAATGAGCCTAAAATGTCATTTTGGGGATTTGTAAGGCATTAGAGAGTTGCATCCATCTCTTTCTCCTTCCCTTCTCTCTTTCTCTTTAGAAGTGCTTAGAAAAGCGTGAGCATCTTGGGGTCAGAATATCATTATAAAGCAAATTACTACTAAAATGAGCTACATGCTAACCTCATAGTCTTAAGGAGTCTTTTCCTTACACTGTATGTTGAACTGGTTGCTTGAAAATAACTAAATATCCGGGAGTTTTCAATCATGTAATATTTCATAGTTCTTCTGGGGACAGAGACTGAATGTGGTTACTTTGCAGAGCATGATGTTTAATCATGCGAAGTGTCTTGATGAGTACTGTTTGATGAATAATAATAATAAATAGTAATAATATCCCACAAGCATTTGCTGACTGATGCATTTAAGGACTGAAGAAACTCCTGGTTTCTTCAGTTTCACTGCTTCTCTATTTCTCCACCAGATGGCAGAAGAAGGGCCAGGATATTGACCCTGAAATATTTTTTTGATTCTTAGATATTAAATATGAGATGGTATCAAAGGTTGGAAGTGAACATTTAAGTATATTCCCATAAATTTATGTTTATTATAAAATCATAAAGCCATTTATGATTTATCATTTATTATTTCATTATAAAATATATTTCCTGCATAGAAATATCTTGAAATAAATACAGGGTGTGGAAAACTTTGGTACTGTGTCAAAGGTGAAAAGTTAAACCAGGCATTATAGACCAGGGGATGTGTTAATACTCTCTCTGATATCCTTATGAAATGGGCAGTGGGACAGGGAACCGTTATAGTGAAGGTTTTTTTACCCATCCTCCTTTTGCACATGGAAATGTAACTAGGAAAGATGTATAGATATAAAATATGGTGTTTCATCTAACGCTGCAATGGCTCTGGGCCTTATAAAAATTGCATTCTCTGCCAGGCGCAGTGACTCACGCCTGTAATCCCAGCACTTTGGGAGGCCAAGGCAGACGGATCACGAGGTCAGGAGTTCAAGACCAAACTGGCCACAATGGTGAAACCCCATCTCTACTAAAAATACAAAAATTAGCTGGGCATGGTGACCAGTGCCTGTAATCCCAGCTACCTGGGAAGCTGAGGCAGGAGAATCATTTGAACCCGGGAGGCAGAGGTTGCAGTGAGCTGAGATTGCGCCATTGTACTCTAGCCTAGGTTACAGGGCAAGCTTCCATCTCAAAAAACAAAAACAAAAGCAAACAGAATTGCATTCTGTACTCCTACCCAGTGTTATTTTGGGATAAACTCTTAAAATTTATCTCACAGGGTAAAGTGTGTGAGAAAATTAAAAGGGGTAGTCAGGGACCTGAGGGCCATCAGCCAACACAAAGAAGAGTCTGAATTCTAGAGCTGGTGAATGTTTAACATCTTGGCATTGTTAAGGGTTGCCTAAGTTTATTTAGTAAGCTCCTAAATAAATGGAGAAAAATGTTTTATTACTCTCATATAAATGGATTTAAAAGAGAGATCTAAAAAAGACAGTTTCAGCCAGAAAACAACTTCATTCATATTCTCATTGGCACGTCTCTCATCCATATCTAAAAACCAAAGCACTTCTCATGTATTTACATAGTCTGTCTTTTGAGATAAATGGTCATTAAATGACAATTTAGAAAGAAAAGGAGTGAGGTGAAAGAGATTGTTTTAAGAATACCCTTTTTAGGCAATAACCTGAATACTAGGAATGAAAAATTAATTTTAAGACAGTGGTTTTAAGATTTCTTAATCCATATTTGAGAAATATATTTTAGGAAGTATATACACACTTATGATATTTTACTGCACACCCTCTGGGTTTTCTGAGGCCCTGGCTTAACCCTTTTCTAGTTGCCATGACAACGAGGACACAAATACAACATCCATACCGTGAGCTGGATCTATGAGGAAGAATTTCCAACTGTATGCATAGTATGTGTATTTGACCCAAGCTTTTCAGAAAGAATTTAACACAATTTTAAATGTAGTAAATTGTCTGTGTGAGTCATACAATGGAAATAGTGTATGCAGCTAGGAAAATGTAGTCTCATAAATGAACCAAGGGAAAAATAACGTTGGAACCCTGTTCTCTCTAAAACCTCCATCTTGCCTTCCCTCATCTTTCTTCCTGATGTAAAGAATGTCATAGAAAACTTGAAGAAAATCATTCTAAGCTTTTATTTTTTTTTCTTTTTAAAATCCAAGCCTAAAATAAATGATTTATTTTCAAGTAAATCATAAATCTATAATCTGAGACATTGGTCTTGCAAAAACACTTCAACGCTTCCAACTACTGGCTGTAAACTGCTTTTCTAAAAACCCTCCTAAATGTTCACTCTGCATTCTGAAAAAAGAAAACAAACTGAAATTTCATCGTCATTTTCTCTGATTCCTAACTAAGGTGCTTCTCACACAGAATCTCCCGAAAGCAGAGATGGATGCGTAGACTCTACAATGGAGAAAGGAGCGGTCCATTCCCTAAGTTCCATTCTGGACACTGAATAGCATCTTGGGAGAAACCAAAATGGGATCCCACTCTAGGTAAGACATGATAACACCAGCAGTGAGATTCCTGTGGATAGGGGAGTTTTCTTGGGCAGGGGTGAAGAGACACAGAAGAAAAGCAGGGAAATGTGAATGCTAGGGATACAAAGAGAAGTCCCAGCAGGGAGCCTCACACAGATGCTTAATAAATGCTTTTTGATTTGACTGAATGATCAAAGTGTGGTGTCAGCGTCAAGCAGTCTTAGCACCATCGCCTATGAATGCCTTTGCAATCCACATGTCGATTTATCTGGGGGTAGGGGTCAGGCTGTCGGAAGGGATGCTGTGCCCTTGCTTGATGTGAGTGGGCAGCCAGGGCCAGCCGTGGGAAGGGATTGAATCGTGGCGTCCTGTTCTTGCGACAGCCACATTCCTCATCGGAAGCTTGTGCTGTGCGTTTGTCCTGCGAGCAAGAGCAGTCTGGGTGCATTTTTGAGATTCTGTGGGAATTACTGCAACTCAGACCCTCGGTTTTCTGATGTCCAAAAGGAGGGCGATAGTAAACAAGTAATAAGTAATAGTATTTGTTTATGTACATAGCTTAACTCATAAAATTGTGTGATGATAAAATAAACTTTAAGCAGCAGATGTAAAAAGAGAAGGTCCTCTTCATCAGAGTGTCCTGCTAGAATCCTTTTAGGAGGCAGGAGGCAGCATAACTGAGTGGAAAGAATGTTGGCATGACAGGCCAGAGAAACAAATTCATCTCCCAGTTGAGCATAAACAGTTGTGAGACCTTGAACCTCTCAGCCTTTCTGAGTTCCAGCTTTCTCATCTGCAAATTTAAGGTGGTGGTCTAGAAGATCTTCCACTTCATATTTTATTATCATACAGAGAATTAAGAAAGGAACTGAGAGCCTAGTTTCCCTGGGGTGGTCAGTTTTACTTCTGAGGCCCTCAGATAGCCCTCTAGACATCTCGCTAAAGGACAGAGGCATTTATATTCACATTTTCCAGTTGTATTTGGGAAATTGGAGTAAGGACCAATACATTTCACATGCCCAGAAGCACAACCCAGGTTAGGAAGGAGTGGAAGGCACTGCCTTACAGCAAACATCCACCTTATCTCAACCCCTAACCTGTCCTGGTCACATACCTCTGTCTAGATGAGCCATTAGGGATGGCCAGTGACCAAATAGCATGTGCAAAAGGAGTGGGTACTGGTGGGTAATGGGGAGGGGAAAGAGAGAAAAGACTTTTCTGGACCCATGGTAAATATGATTTCCTTGGTACTGAATGGAAAAGAATAAGCATTATTTTTGATAACTCAAGTCCAATTTTCAAGAGTTTCAACAATTTCAGTGGGAAAAAGTATGCATATGTATATGTGTATGTAATGTGTGTATATATGTGTATATATGCATATACATGCACAGACATGTGTACACACAACACATAAATACCTACGTGCACAAAGCATAAATGTACACACATACACCTGTATGTTTATAAATTTATATTAAGAATCTTAGGAAGGGCCTCATCTTCTCACCAGTGGTCTCTTCTCTCTGTTTCTACATCTTAGTCTCTCCCCATAAGGCACATACCCAGTGAAATTCACACTGAAATGTACAGAACTCTCTTCTAGATATTATTCTTGGTGCAAACACTCCCTTAGTCCATACCCCTGCCCTTGTGCCCCCACCATCATAAAAAACAGGGACAGGACTTGAGAATTCTAACAGTTTGGGAAACTGTAAATGCCCACACTTTTACATTTGCCACTGTTTCCATGACAAATTTTTTTCTCAGGAGAAAAGAACATTTCTAAAAGATCAAAATTAAATCACTTTGAAGACTCAAAAAAGGATGGTGACTCTGGGAAAGTATTAACATGAAATAACACTATTTGTATCGAAAATCATTTATGCCATTTATAAAATTCTCCCTGCACTTCAAATTTGCTAAGTTTAAGTTCAGTCTTCTTCTTGTGTGTTTCTTGCCATTGGCACAGAATACAAAAGGGAGAATAGCTTTTGAACTCTTTGGTGATGCAACAAAATCTGATTTCATTAATGAGGATCATTGCTGAGTGAGGTATTTTGTGCTGAAAAAGTAATTGCTAGTTTGACATAGAGAAGCCATATCTATATCTACACAAATGCGTATATAGAATGAGTAATATACAGATGTGTGTATTTATGTATATCTGTGTGGATAGATTGATGGATGGATAGACTAATCCCCATTCAGACAAAAGTCCTCTTTGTCTTGCCCATATTATTCTTCAGTTATGTACAAAAGGATTTTACTATCATCAATCTACTTGCCAATTATTTCTATGTTTTATGATCAGTTTTGGTTTTCTTCCAAGAAACTGTTGTGAAATGGTATGTGATAAATGCTATATAAGCAGATATTACTTATCAGCCTGGAGAGACAGGATTGGATATTTTTAGGAAATCTCATTGAGAATACATAGGCCACCACCACCATCTCACACACACACACACACACACACACACACACACACACAAAATATATATATATACCACTTTAACAGCAACAGCAAAAATAACTGCCCTTTCCCAAGTCCTCATCTCGTATTTCTCTTCCTGACCTTCCACTGAAACAATAAGATAACATTCTTATGGAATGGGACTCCCACTCGTGGCCATACCTTTATAGAGGGCATCAACAACCGTGAATGAGTTCATCACAGTTTCTGGGCTCTGACAGAGAGGGACCAATAACCTGCTACTGTCAACCAAAACGCATCTGAGACAGGTCTAAATCAATGCGGAAGTTTACTTTGCCAGGACAGGACCAGGAAAAAAGAACACAGAACCACAGAAACAGTCTATGATCTGTGCCTTTTTCTAGAGATGATTTTGAGGGTTTCAATATTTAAAGGAGGACAGTGGGCAGGAGGGGAAAGAGGAAGGGAATAGATGTTCACATTGCTGAATCCACATATTGCAAGAGATAAAGAGCAGGTAGGAGAATAGTCAATTATATATTTATTTTACATTCAGTCAGTTGAGATAAAGTGAACATAGAGTAGCTACCTGTGGAGATGTTTAGCCTTTTATCTGTAGCTGTCTGCTTAGGAACAAAAGGAAAGGCAGTTTCTTGCATGACTCAGCTTTCAGCTTAATTTTTTTCTTTTTGGCCTAGTGAAAGTGTTTACTTTCCTTTCACACTATGAACCACTAAGTATCTGAAAGGAAAGGGGCGGGGATCCCAGCTACTCGAGAGGCTGAGGCATGAGAATCACTTGAACCTGGGAGGCGGAGATTGCAGTGAGCCGAGATCGCACCATTGCACTCCAGCTTGGGTGACAGAGTAAGACTCTGTCTCAAAAAGAAAAAAGAAAAAGAAAGGGGCAGGGATAGGTCAAGAGAAAAAAAAAAAAATGCTTGTGTGGGGAGAGCAATGAAGTAAGAAAAGAGAGAGAGTTAAAGAAAAACTTCGTATTATCTCATGGAGTCTAACAGAAACTGAATTCAAACCTTGGCTCTTTCATTTAGTGTTTGTTCTGTATACTTAAACCAGTTGCCTAATCTCTATGATCCTTAGGTATTTATCTGTAAAAATAAACGTAAATTACAGGCTCATGCCTGTAATCCCAGCACTTTGGGAGGTCAAGGCGGGAGGATCACCTGAGGTCAGGGGTTCCAGACCAGCCTGGCCAACATAGCAAAACCCTGTCTTTACTGAAAATACAAAAATTAGCTGGGCATGGTGGCACACGCCTGTAATCCCAGCTACTCATGAGGCTGAGGCAGGAGAATCGCTTGAACCCAGGAGGTGGAGATTACAGTGAGCCAAGATTGTGCCACTGCACTCCAGCCTGGGTGACAGAGTGAGATTCCATCTCAAAAAACAATTATAAAAATAATAAAAATATCTATATTACCATATTGTTTTAAGGATTATGTTAAACTATGTAATAAATATAAAACATATAGTACAATTCCTTTCAAAATAATTATAACTTTCATCAATTTATAATTTCCTAAGGATAATCACTATGCCCATATAACTATGGAAAAATTTTTGAAACATTTCTGGTTTGAGGGATGATAATTAAATGAATTTTATTCTAAGAAAATAATTAAACATCTGAAGGGAAACTATCTACAAAACAATGCTTAACATAAATAACCAACAATGAAGAAACAAAAAAATAAATTACAGCAGATTTGTGTTCCAATGGACACACTTTAGAGAGATACACTAATGCAAATGGTAACCAGAAGAAAGCTGAAATTATTGCATTAATATCAGACAAAATAGATTTTCAGACAAAAAATATTTCTAGAGACAAAGAGAGACATTTAATAACAACAAAGAGATCAATACATCAAGAAAATGAAACAATTATAAATGTGTAGTTTATAATACATAATTTATACAAAGCCCCAAAGTGCATGAAACAAAAACTGACAGAATTGGTAGTAGAAACAGTTGGAGTTATAGTTGGCATTATAGTTTGGAATTATAGTTGGAGATTTACATATTCTTCTCTCATTAACTGATAAGGCAACTAGAAAGATTTAAACAACAGTATCAATCAACTTGATCTAATTGACATATATGAGGTGCTCCACCACCAACAGCAGAACGTATATTCTTTTCAAGTACACATGGAAAAAATTCTAATATAGATTTTATGCTAGGCCATAAAGCAAGTAATAATAAATTTAAGAGATCATTAACATTTTTAAATTAAAATATAATTAAGTATGATTACGTGGGATTCATTCCAGAAATGCAAGAATAGTTTAATATATGAGAAATCAATAAATGCAATACATCACATTAACAGAAAGAAAGACAAAAACCGTAAAATCATTTTAATGGAAACAGAAAAAACATTTGACAGAATTCAACATTCCTTCATGATAAAAACTCTCGACAAATTAAGTATAGAAGATATGTACCTCAACACCATAAAGACCTATTCAGGATGAGCCTGGAGTATCTTATAGTGCAAGAAAGTAAGGAAGTGTCCAAAATACAAAAGCAAACATAAAGCAAACAAAACCCGACAGTGAGGAAGGTATTACAAAGGAATACAGGAGCTAACTGAGGAAGGGTCCCAATGGCCAAAGCTGGAAAATTTTGAGGAAAAAATTAAATAAAGTAGTATGGGATTATAATTCAATATATAAATGTCCATGAGTCCATAATGATATAAATAAAGAAATAAATGGAGTAAAAGGGACAAATCTCCCATACAGAACAATTTCGACTAATTCATGTGGATACGCCACCTTCAAAGAGGTGAGACGGTGTGGTCTGCCCACAGTCACTTCCTTCAGAAAACAGGGAATAAAAGAATATCTTTCCATTGGAGAAACCTGCTGGACACCACCTCAGCCAGGTGATCAAAGTCAACAACAGTGGTAAGTCATGTTCATCGAATGTATCCCTGACATGAGGAAAATGGTATTTTACCTCTGTGTTCTTCCTCTCCCAAACCTGTAACTCCAGATTAATCATGAGGAAAGCAACAGACAATTCCCAATGAAAGGACATTCAAAAAAATGCCTCAAAATTGTCAAGGTCATCAGAAATGAAAAACATGAGAAACTGTCTCAGCCTAAGAAGACACAACTAGTAAATACCATGTGGCATCCCAGATGAGATGCTGGAATAGAAAAAGGATGTTAGGTGAAATCTAAGGAAATCTGAATAAAGTATGAACTGAAATTAATAATAATGTGTCAACATTGGTGAATTAATTGCAGCAAATGTGCCTTAACGTAAGATGCTAATAACAAAGGAGACAGAGCATGGGGCATAAGAACTGTCTTTGCAAGTTTTCTGTAAGTCTAAGACCATTCTAAAAAATCGAGTTTTTTTTTAAAAAATACTTCTCTTTCCTGTAATAATGTAAGACAGATTAGGGGAGAACCATATAACAAAGTCTAGAATCAATTGAAGTGGCATCATAAAGCTAAATTCCAGAAAAAGGTGACCATCTGGCTTCGTGGAACCCAAATGTGCTGGCTTAGTGCTAAAGTGGCAGCCAGGAAGGGTTTAAATGGTGTTATCATTAATACATATTTGGCAGCAGGAATTTCCATTATTAGCAGCTGAAAAAACATGCCATGGAACATTTGAACAGAACTGTACAGGAAAATACAAACTCTCCCAACTTTGCTCTCTTTATGCAGCTGACATCTCCTGAGAAACAAAGAGCCAAGTTTTTCTTTTCAGAGCCTGCAAGATTTATTTTTTTTAGAAAAATCTACCTTTAATTACTGTAGAATGCTCCCTGATGCTCAAAGACTACTGAGCTCATTGGATGCCTATGGACTAAGAACTGGGCTTTGTTATTATTATTTAGAAAACAAACAGGTTCAGAGAGGGTCAGTGATTTGCTCTGAATTCACATCTGGTAAGTTGCGGAACTGGAACTTGAACCTAGGTCTTTCAAATAAAAACTGAATGTCCTTTATACAACTAAAAATGACTCGAGACATCTTTTTGTCCTGTTGTTTGGCTTATGTTAGTGGACATCAGACACCCAAAACAAAAATGTCACCTTCTGATGAGTGAAGACAACAAGGTGGGCTTTGGCCTTCCCAATGGGTATTGACACTAACAAACCAGAAAATTCTTCTGAGCAACACTGAGCCTCAGTTTTATCATTTATTTTCTTCTTTCAATTTGTCCCTCAAATGCTTTCACCATCTCTGTTTCTTGTATTAATCTGATCATTTTTGTCTTTGATTCCTGCACAGCTGGTGAAGTCACTCTTCACCTTATTTGGTTCTCCTTCTACACTGCATTTCAGCTTTAATCACCTCTCTCATCTGCCTGATGCTGAGACCCTAGTCCCTGTTCCTGTTTGCCTTGGTCTTGACCACATGACAAAGAGTATTAGACTATCAGAGAATACCCAATGCTATTTTGAATCGAAAATCTGCACTATTTTCAAAAGTTCACTGGGAAACTGGAGTACTTGATAATTCAGTTATTAAGAACATCTAATTCTACCTCATCTCTCTTCTGTGGGGGATAAGATTTAATATGTATCACTTCTAATAAAAGGAAATGAGGAATTGGGTCATTCTTTTCAATTTCACAGTAATATTTCACTGACCTCTAAAAATACCTCCTATTAAAATGTATAGAAACCAATTCTTGGGCAGAGCTCAGACTTGAATAGATGCAAAGAATAATACTGCACATTAGAAGAAGAAATCTCTTCCGAATAGGACCTTAGGTTTTAACAATCCAACCAACTTAGAAACAATGGGACACTTTGAAATGTACTTAGATCTCTGTCAGTGAGTTTTCCAAAGAAAGTCAGGGCCACTTTTATTGGGGATGTTGTCAAAGAGATTCGTATTTTACATGTTGGGGTGAAGGGCCTGGGGAAATGTTGTGGATCACTTTGAAATTAGTTTTTTAAACCTACATATAAAATGACATTTTATATTGAGTCACTCTAGCCTATTAAAACTCATCTCAACTTTTGTTACCAGAGTGCAATTTTCCTTGTGCAGCACTTTGCGAATTCTCACTGCCCTCTGCTAATAATTCTGAATTCGAATCTATATCCTCTTAGAGAGAGTGAGACCTTTGCACTTCTAAAGATTGCAGAGCCAGTGGCTTTGTCTCCATGTGACTGTGCACTGAAGGGTAATGTTCTCATGCCTCAAGGGGCAGCCAGATAGCCTGGGGAAGAGCAATGGAATAGAGCACGCTGGGAGAGCCAAGGCCTGAAATTAGGGAGTAGGGAGAAATGTTGGCTACAGGCCCTGAGAAGTATAGTCTAGCAGATAGAATGCTGTATCCAAGGGTAGGGAAATAGATATGGGGGCAGGGCGTGGGAGGTGGAGAGAATGTGTTGGAAGCAAAGATCTCAGAGCAATGTAGTAGGAAAATTATGAAAGACAACCAGAGAAAAGTAATGAAGACTGAAGGATAGAGTAATAGTCAGGTGTTTCATGAAAGGGCTGTATATGTAAAGCAACCCCCAAAATGCAGAAGGAACTTAATAACCAAAGAAGGAGGCACACAAGTCCTGCTTGCATTATAGAGAGATTTTATTGGGGAATTTACAGACAGAAGTATGGTCTTTGGTAGACGCAAGTCAGGTAAATTTCCTCACCATTACTCCCAGACCCAGGGATTATATACCCTAGGAAAAGGGTACACATACTTCAGAGGGAATAGGAAGGAATTTGATCTAAGGGTAGGATTTATGGGTAGTATGAGTTTATGAAGGTTGATTTGATCTAAGGACAGGATTTATGGTAACTATGTGCTCTTACACAGGAAGCAGAGATAAATTGGAAATCTCAGATTCAATCCTGGAAAGGGGGTTAATCAGAAGTCATTATGGCAGATTCGCTTCCAAGATGGAGTCACTTTAACCTTCACATCAGGAGTCTAGGAAGACAGAAAATAAGCACGTAGCAGAGTTTCACCATCTATGCTGGGCTTAAAAAAATAAGACTGATCCCGGATTAGTCCTTGTGGCCAAAGAACAAAGAAGTGGGCAGGCAAGAATGAGGCAAGACTCAGTACAAGAGACAATGCCAAGGCCCGGCGCAGTGGCTCACGCCTGTAATGCCAGCACTTTGGGAGGCCGAGGCGGGCAGATTACCTGAAGTCTGGAGTTCGAGACCAGCCTGGCCAATGCAGTGAAACCCCTTCTCTACTAAAAATACAAAAATTAGCTGGACATGGTGGCGCATGTCTGTAATCCCAGCTACTCAGGAGCTAAGGCAGGAGAATTGTTTGAACCTGGGAGGCGGAGGTTGCAGTGAGCCAAGATCATGCCACTGCCTTCTAGCCTGGGCATCAAAAAAAAAAAAAAAAAAAGCGAGAGAGAGAGACAATGCCAATGGCCAGAGAGCAAAACAGGGGTTATCAGGGACTAGGGGTATTATGGAGTGGGGAAAATGAGGAGTAGCTTAATGGGTTCAGAGCTCAAGTATGGGATGATGAATAGCTTCTAGGGATGGAGTGATGATTGCATAGCAGTGTAAATGTACTTAGTGCCACTCTACTACACACTTAAAAATGGTCAAAATGGTAAATTTTAGATTATGTATATTTAACACAAAAAAAATTTAATGAATTTTTTTAAAAAGAGAGACAGTGGCAGCATCAGATTTCCATCACGGAAACTCAGGTACTAGCAACAACAGAGAAGCCCGATTCTCAAAACTGGCATGTGAGGTGGAGACTAGATCTTGGGTGACAGAAGGGACTGTGTGCAATGCTGAGCTCAAGGTCAGAATTGACCAGAGGTACCTCTGACTGTGTGCAGAGATTTAGGGGGTGTGCTGGAACACTTGACTGCTGCTTAAACCTGGGAAATGACTGAGTCTGAAAGTGGGCTTAAGTAGCCTCAGCTATGGAAGTCAAGGAAGCCTAAAAAGGCTGGTTATTGGGCAAGACTAATACATGTTGGTTCTTTGTAATCTCATTTTCCTCACCCAGCACTCATGTTGAGGAGGACAACAAAAAAATCAGCCCTGAGACAAACCAGCTCCCACTAAAGGAAATAATTTGACCATGAACAGAGTGGAAACAGGATATAGAGCTCCCAATATTTTAGGCCAACTCACTAACTAGTAGACAATTCTTCCTTTTAAAGAATTCTATGCCTTTTCACTAATGAATTCATGTCCCTATGGAGCCACAAAGGATGAGAATTTAGCCCAAATGTATACTTAAATTGGATCGCCTTTTAAGAATGCTTTAAAAAATAAAATGCAGCCACCTGTGACATATTAAGACTGTTAATGTACTCATTGACATAAATACCTGAAGGGTTTTCATAACAGCTGGAACATGGCTCAAAGATCTTTTGTATTTGATTTTTAATGTACTTCCAAAGTGACTTCATAAAATTGCAACCACTACCACCAGTGGGATTGAGGTTTTGTTTAACTCCTTGAGTCCTCATCTTCCACTGCTATTGATGCCAGTGAATCCCATTACTGCTCACTCTAAACGTCTTGAAGATAAAAACCACACTCCAAATACATTATCAATGGAGAGACAAGACAGGCAATCAAGACCTACATGTCCCTGGCCACAACAACTGTCATAAAATAGCATTTTCTTGGCTCTGCCCTCACTTCCTCTGTAGAATCCATAGTCCCTTCAAATTCTTACCACGTGGGTCTTAGCAAGGCCTAAATTCCTCCCATATGGCACCACTCAAGGGCTCAGGCAATAAACCTCCTCAACTGTGACTGGATCCCAGACAGTCCAGCCTACTGTGGGGCTGCGTCCATCTCATCTCTGCCAGAGGTGACAGCTTGGCCTCTACTGCCCACTAGACAACCTGTTAGCTGTCGACGTCCATGCCAAAGCTGATGGTGACTGAGGCAGAAGGAACTGATGTCTGAGCCACGACAGCCAGTTGTGACAGACCCTATACCACTCCTAGGGCCACCCTTCCATTTCATCTCCAACCCATTGTCCTTGAGTTTGGTTCAATCATTCTTCTGTTTGTTCAGTCAACACATGTTTATTAAACATCTATTATGTGCTGAGCACTCATAGGTTGATGATGTAGAGGCTATGTGCAAAGGAAGCATATTGGAGCTTACATTCCAGTGTGCAGACCAACAGTAACAGGTGAACAAATTAATAAATGTGTAACTACTTAAGTGAAGTGCTAAGAAAGTAATAGTCAAGGTGCTGTGATCAGGAATAAGAGCTGATGGAGTGGTCAGGAGTGGGCCTTCTTCAGGAAATAACATTTAAATTGAGACCCAAAGGGTGAGAAGGAAACAACCATTTAAAGAGCTGGGGAAAGAGTTTCACAGGCAAGGGGAGTACAAGGAAGAAAAACACATGGGCCATTCAAAGACCTAAAATAAAGCTGCAGTGGGTGTAGCTAGAGCCAAGTGAGAGAGGCAGAATGGGAGGAGGCTGGGTTGAGCAGTAAGGTGGAGCAGGCTATGTTTGACTTCTGTAGGTTGAACCTGAGAAGCCATTAAATAGAAAGGGAATGAACAGTTTTGTTTTCACTTTGTAAAAAAATGTAAAGTTCATCTTGACTGCTGTGTGGAGAGTAGATTGGAAGAGAGCAGGAAGGGAAATGGGAAAGTTATTTGTAATAATTCAGGTGAGAAATGATGATGGCTTAAAGTAGGACAGCAGCAGTGGAGATGAACATAAGTAAACGAGAGATGCATTTTGAAATAGGAAGGATTTGCTGATAGATTCAATATAGAGGTGTGGTAAGGGAGAAGAAGAATCAAGATGACTACCAAGTTTCTGGCTTGAGCAACCTGATGGATGATGATGCATTTACTGAGATCAAGAAGATAAAAGCGGCGAGGAAATCAAAAGTCTGCAACATACTAGGTTTGTTATGCTTATAAGACACTGCAGTGAAACCCTGAGTAGGCATTTGTATACACTCATTCGTTCACATATACTTTTGAGTCTCTACTATGTTTAGGAACTGAGCCTAATTCTAGGGGTAGAGCAGTAAGCATAACAAAGATGATCTTTGACCTTAGGAAGTTTACAAACAAGCAGGTAGGACAAACATTGGACAAGTAACTAAGCATGATATAGGTACCAGTGTAGAAATTGGAGCTAGGGGGTAGGCAAGGGAGGAAGAAAATGGAGGCTGACAGTCTGAGTGGCTAGCAGAAGTTTCCTAAGGAAGTTTCCTAAGACACTTAGCTCTGAAATATGAACGAAATTAGCTCAGTAAAGAGGTGGAAGCAGAGTTTCAGGCAGAACATGTGCAGAGCATGTGTAGAGGCCTGGAGGCAGGAGAGATTAGGTTTTTCCAGGAACAAGTCTTATAGAACTAATTCTTTCCCAGAATGTTCTCAGTCCTCACGGAATTCCCGTTAGCAGGCTAGTTCCATTCATCCTCCAGACATGCTGGAGTGGCCAGAGGGTCAACACAGCTTGCACTCTAGCCAGGACTCCTGCTATACTGTGTCTAAAAGATTCTTTCAGTATAGCAGGACTCCTGCTATGCTGTGTCTACAGTTCATTCTTTCAATTGACAATTCCTTGCGAACCTGACTATGGATCATGGACGTCTACATCAGCAGTCCCCAACCTTTTTGACAATAGGGACCTGTTTCATGGAAGACAATTTTTCCATGGATTGGGGTGGGGAGGGAGAGGTGGTTTGGGGATGAAACTGTTCCACCTAAGATCATCAATCATTAGATTCTCATGAGGAGCAGGCAACCTAGACCTCTCACATGCACAGTTCACAATAGGGTTTGTGCTCTTATGAGAATCTAAGGCCACTGCTGATCTGACAGGAGGCAGAACTCTGGCAGTGATGCTCGCTTGCCCACTGCTCACCTCCTGCTGTGCAGCCTGGTTCCTAACAGGCCACGGGCTAGTACCAGTCTGCAGGCCTGGGGGGTGGGGACCCCTGCTCTAGATAAACTTCTTGCCTCTCAGAAAGAACTTGTCACTTAGTGGAGAATGAAGAGTGTTATACTAAAGGTATGTCTCAAGAACCATGGGGAGATTGAAGAAGGCATGACTGGCTCTCCCTGGAGCCACAAAGGAGACATCACAGAAAAGGAGGGAGAAAGAAACAAATGGCAACACTGACACTGGTTGAGCACTTGGGATCGATATGTGCATCTGGGAAATGGGAAGCCATTTGGGAGAATGAACCATTCTTAGAACGCAGTTTACCCAATGAATATAATTTCCTCCCTTGGATACGTGATCTTCCTCCTTAGCACTGAGAAGATTTCTCTGCATTTGGTAATAGCTATGATTTTGCAACTGGCAGGTTTTTTCAAGGAGAGACCCTAGTATGGAAGGCTTATGAAACAATCCAATACTTGTGGTCCTATGAGTAAAGGAGGGAGAACCCCCTAGGAGTCAAGCTGAAGGCCACAATGCTTTATTTCCACCTGCCAAGTTTCCATCACCTTTGCAGGTAGTCCTGAGATAACTAGGATAGAAACCCTCTCCTTACCAGTAAAGACAAGCCATCCACTTAGCAGTCCCTCTGTTCCATCCTCCAGAAAGACACAAGGCCTTTTGTAGCTCTCCATACTTCCTACTCCCCCACTCCCAATACCAATATTGGAGCATCTGCCATTTGGAAACTCTCAAGCACAGCCTTCCTTCAGGACTGGCTCGAAAAATCATTTTGCTTTTGGCATTTTTAATTAAAGTGGCATTGCATAAAAACAGATGAAAACATCTCAATAACTCAAACTTATTAGAAAATGGAGAAGAGAAGAGAGAGAAAAAAAGTGAGAGTGGGAAGAATCCTAGAAAGGAAATGAATCTATGTGAGAAACTATTTCCCAATGAACTCCCATGCTAATCACAGCCTCCAGACGTCAGTAGCAGAGGCTACAGCAGAGTGATAATTAGAAACCAAGCAATCTTTCTGAAAGAAGTAGAAGATGGAACATTATTAGGTAAAGTGGCATTTTTCCTTTTTTTTTTTTTTTACCCAAGAAGTGTGCTGCTGTTCCTTAATAACTTTGAAAAGCAAGAACATTTAACACAAAGGCAGTGTGTCAGGAGTAGCAAAAAACTCAAGGATGGGCTTTTCCTTGTCTCTCCTGGGAAGAGTCAAGTCATTTAGTCACATACAATTAAAACACCCCAGTGTTGCCAGGGGTGGAGGGTGAGGAGAGAGGGATGAACAGGG